GCCTGTTATTTGTTTCTCTCTCCCTTTTATTCTCCTCCTGCTCAGTCAGTCTTTGCTGGTTTGTCGTCATAACTTCGTCCCCTTCATGTTGTGAGTATGCCTTGTTTTCAGCATTTTTTGGGGATTTTTACTTCTGTTGAACTTTTGTTATTAACCCTTCAAGTAACCACCTCAAGCGTATGTGTCTGCATTTGGGTCCTGTCAAACCACCTTCATTGTGACATTATGACTCTACGTGGTAACAGACACTCCAATGTAGAGTCATATTCTCCCACTCCTTACTTGTTTTTTGTTTCTTTGGTTATGTTATACTATAAGCCATGGTATCGATTTTGGCATTGTTTGGTAAACTTTTAATATTTGTGGAGAAAAATGTTTACCCCCCTCTCAAAAGACCATTGCTAGACACACTTGTGATCCTGCTCCCCACTGTACTTGGGAACAAAGACTTATACTCATCATCATTTCGGTGGCTCTTCACCCAACCACATGAATGGAAGGCCATGCAGGCCACAGGAATCAGAACCTCCTGACTGCCAAAAGTTAAAGTAGCCAATTGATGGTCTCAGAAACAGACTCTGCAAAGCAAACCTATCTGCAACATTTCTTTCTGAGTAGGAAACTTTAAGATCTCAGAGACCGGAGGCTTTTATATTAGCAGAAAGACATTTTGGGACTACAGATGAAAATTTGCCTGTATGGCTAAATCTGGTATATTTACATGCTACTCTTGTTGTATCTCAATTAATATGTATTGTCCTATTTCCAATAAAGAAAACAGAGCAAAATATTAGCTTTCCTGCTGCAGGACTGACCTGCTTGTCATTATTTTGGCACTGATGACTGTCTTATATAATCATTCCATTCACCTGTCAAACTGCTTGGTTTCTCATCACTGCTCATCTGATCCACCTGCTCCTGCCTCTATTTAAGCTGCTTGCATCCAGTCATCATGCCAGACTATCCTCTACTCTCTAGCCAATGGTGACAGTGTTTTTAGAGATGCTTGGAATTTCTGATTTCCTAATCCTGACGTACTCTGCCTTTCAACTGCTGAGCCTGCCTGTTCCTGTCTGAACGTTTTTTCCTGAACTGCCTTTGGAGTCCTGAGTCTCTGAGCCTGCCTGTTCCTGTTCTGATCTTTTTGCCTAACCTGTCTTCAAACTCCTGCATGTTCTCCGCAGCTGCAGCCTCTGTGACACTCTGGGCGGTGCCTTCCAGATCTTGTTGGCAGTCCACCGCTAACCTTGTTTTGATCTTTCAAGTTAATTTTTGACCTATTTTTAGGATAATATATTTTGATTGATTGACTTGATTGATCTCATAGCAGAGAAATGTCCTTGTTACATCAGCTCAATAGTCAAAAGCTGCGCAGAGGAGGAAAATGTGCATGGGAAATATACAGTATATACAGTGTCCACATATAGATATATAACAGCTGAAGTCTATAACAGCTGCAATCTTTGTTGATTAAAAATAACTAAGAGATGTTGGTTATCTATTTCTGGCATGTTATTCTGGTGACCACACTGCCTTAGTTCTGCTGTACCTTACTGATGCTATTGACACTGTGGGCCAAAATATTTTAAAATTTTGTCTGAATCATTTTGGGAGCACATTATATTTGATCTTATTAGATTGTTTAGATCCTATATGATTGATCCGTCTGTCTCGGTCCAAATTTAGGGCTTATAATCTTTTCTCTTATTTATTGCCACAACGCTACTGCTAAGAGAACAGATAATTACTTTCATTTTCAATGCAAATGATTTCAAGATCTGCCGTTAATCCAGAAGCCCGGCTTTTCTATGACAGCCCTATTGGACTGTTTGTGGATATTAAAGCTTGGCTAGCGCTTGGCTAGACGTATTAAATCTTAATCAAAAATATAACAGCACTCAAGGAGAGCAAAGCTCGGCAGCAGAATTTTCCCTCGTATTATGATTTACACCTATAGCTAAAACTCACACTTGAGCTGGATCATTATCAAATTTGAATGAATTATTCTTTGGCATGAGGTGCACCATAGCTTCCTTAAAATTCTTGCTTAAGTTTACAAATAACGCACAGATTGTGTCTGCAGCCTCTGGTGTTTGTTCTGCTCTCAAATTCTTTATCCACTCTGCACTCTGGTTTCTTGTTTGATCAGCAGATCAAGACTTCGAGGCATGGCTCACCTTTCCTGTGTTTTTGTCTTCAGTATAATACTTTTTGACTTTTTTAAGTCCAATGCTGAAGCTGTCAATAGTCACTGCTGCCATCCTCTGGTTTAGGGTGGAACTGCTTGCTCCAAAATTATGATAAAGTATCTTTTAAAATACCTACATCTGGATTATGATGTGGACCATCACAATCACCATCATTTAATGGATTGGTCCTTGGACTGAGATGCACCTACGTCAAAAATTTTCATAGATTATGTTAATAACTTTTCAAGTTATCCTGTACACAGACAGACAAACACACAAATGTAACAGAAGTGAAGGTGTTAGAAACAAGCAGCCCCTCTGAACCTATTATTAATTACTTGGAACTTTTAACAGCTTATTTCAAATCCACTGGTACTAATTTGGATTGTTAATTAGACAGTGATCTTAAAAGATCCAGTTGTAATCACCTATGCTGATCGGTTTATATAAATAAATATTTAATTCATACTCGGATTGTATTTCATGCGTTGTGTACTAATGAACTATTATGATTTATAATGTGTGATTCATTGTTTATTAAGTCTTGCTTAAGATCATTCCATATAAAGGCCATGCAATGGACGGGTTGTGAAAGAGGCCTGAACATCCTCTGTCATATGTTGGGTTGTAAAAGAGGCCTGAACATCCTCTATCACATGTTTCTAAACATGTGGAACAATTCAATTGTAAAACAACCACATTCTTTGTTTTAACATATGTGCTGAGATTTAAAGTAAGATAATTTTTTATCCCTTTCCCATAGTTAAACCTCAGCTTGTGTAATTAGGGACATCCCCTGACTTCAATAAATAGCTGAAGACCGGCAGAGTGGGTTGGAGATTTATAAACTCTGCAGTCTCTTCCTACTCTCCTTGCGAGTAAAACTAAATTAATTGTCTCTGTGCTTTCTTTCTTTCCCTGTATGTATGTATGATGTTTTAGGTGCTTAGACCTGACAGAAAGCTTGCATTTATTACATCCCTCTTAGATTATTGTAATGGACTTTAATTTTTAGTTAATACGTTTTTGCTCGTCATCTGTAGATGAGTCAAGATGCTGCTGTATATCCAACAGGTACTCCAAAAATAGAGCACATCTCCTCTGTTCTGTGTCAATACAGTTATTGCCTGTGTATCTTACAGTTAATTTATCGTTCTTATTTCTGAATGTTTGAATGACTTTGTCCTGCTGTATCTCTCTGAGCTATGAGCTCTCATCATTCTCATTGTTCTTCTTGGTCATCATGGTCTGTTGAACAGCAGCTATTGCTGTAAATACTGAGGTCTAAGAAAAGGCTAAGAGGAAGTGTAGCCTCTTCTGTCTTTGCTCCTCAGTTGTCGAATAACCCTCCACTGTACATTAGAAAGTTTCCTTTTTGAATACTTTTATTGATTCTCTTAAAATTTATGTTTATAACATGGCTTTCAACATTAGCAGGACTTGGGTTAATGTTGTTTATTGTAAATGGTTTTATTGAATCTGTCATTGTTATTTTTCATATTATTTAGTTCTTCTATATATCTATGTTTATGGTTTCTAGATATGTTCAGAGACTTTGTTTCAGCTATTTTTAAAATGTTTTATAAATAAATGTATCATTGCTTAGTATAACATGGCATGGCATGGTCAAAGTAAAAATCTCAGACACTGGGGACTCTTTATGTTATCTCACTGATTTCAATATAATGTTCTATCTAAAACATATCCACAAGTCTCTCTTTGCCTCTGTATACGATCTTTCAAATTATGAATAATAGTAGAAAGTCTGGACATACACTGCAAAAACATTAAATAAACTACTTCCAATTAATGCTATGAAAGCAAATCATTTCATTTCTGAAAACACTGAAATAGATTTGTATTTAAAAAGATTAATCAGGATTCACATTTAAATAAACATTTTAAACAATAAAAGACAATATTGATCTTGTTTCTTTTTTGTGTGCATATAATGTGGTTGTGGAAATGCCAGCAATTTTTGAAAATTGGGAAGGCCACACCCCCACAAAGGTAAATCTAAAGTCTTCTCTGACAAAATATTGGGACTTGGAACAGAACTGTTTTTCTAAGAGCTACAAGTAAATGTATGTGCAAAGAATATTTTTTGGGCTGAATTTGCTCCTCAACATTCAGTATCATTTTAGACAAAGGGCTTGAAGATTACCTGTACATTTGAAATTACTTTTGATAAAATTAGGAAGACATCTAACACATACAGGTAAGACAGTTCAGAACACCATGATTGTGCTCAGATGAGTGAACAAGAAGTGACCTAAAGTAAAATATGAAATGGATATAAATAAACCAAATTGAATTGAATTGAATATGCTCTTTAAAGTTGGATGGATAAGTACAAAAAGAAACAGCTGATGGTTTTAACATGGCTGTTTACCAGGAAGAACTACACAAAATACCATCTGCTAATAAGATCTTGATGCTAACATATAAAAAGTTACATTTTACAACTGTTTGTAGGATTATTGTCATAGAATTAGAGTGGGAAGATTAACTGTGTTGCCTGACTCAGATTTAAAATATTATTTTAAAGCTAGAAAGAGACTTTAAATTATATAATTTTTCTCTATATTTTCTTGTAAAATCTCAGATAGTAAATGATTGTAGTCTGTTATGCAACTATTTAAATGAAAAAGTTAAATACCTTGAATTTATTTATTCACTGAGTGAACGCCTCTGAAACTCAGTAGACTATGACCTGCTCAGTCAGTCATCCAGGCATCGACCTTTCATGCAGTAGATAGCAGCTGTTTGCTCGTCCTTCAGGGGAGAGGTGAAAGTCCAGCATTTGTCTTTTATGTGTCCCTCGGAACAGTCGTTGTAAAAACTAGGATTAATTTTTTGTATTTTAATGTCAGTCCAGAGTGTGCGTGAGTGACTGTGTATGTGCTGAAGATAATGAGTGTGTATCTTCTGTTACTCTTACTGGCTTTGCTGATCCACGATGGGAATGCCAAACCTGAATCGCAAGGCTGCAACAACCCAGATGCTGAGAGAGTGGCAGAAGAGGCCCTGGAGCAGATCAACCAGGACAGGACTGATGGATACATCCTGACTCTCAACAGGCTTTATGATCTATCCCACACACCGAAGCAGGTTAGAGGGGAGGAAATGCATGCTTGCACAAAAATAATGCAGTGGAGTTACACTAAATAGGTCTTTAATAATCTAGTTTGCTTGCATTCTGACAAAATATTGGGATTTAAAAACATAACATCTTGCAGAAGATTCATCATATTGCAACAAAGTTCTTACTTGTTTTACTTGACGATAGATCATCCGACAAAGGTTTAAACAGTTTATTGTGAATAAGGCTTCACTGAAAATCCTGTCAGCCATTCTAGCTGTTCCTTTGGGTTTAAACTGTATAACAGTTTCTACTGTATAACCTTTATATCCAGGAGAATGGTGGCTCAGTTTACAACCTAACTATTGATGTGCTGGAGACGCAATGCCACATTGTCAGCAGAAAACCATGGAAGCAATGTAAAGTCAGAGACATCTCAGATATTCCTGTAAGTCTAAAACAGTTTTGCATTCTACTTCATTTAAATAAAAGGCTTCTACACCAGACAGAAATCTGGGACTTGTCTTTTTTTATTGTCCTTTTAACAGCATTATTAACAGCTTATATTATTTCCTAATGTCCATTTAGTTGTTCTAACATGCATGATACAACATTTCAAAAATGCTTTCTATTCTAATTCTCAAAACCTGAGAATAAATCTAAAACACAGGTGTTTTAGATGTTTTTTTTTGTTTGTTTGTTTTTTTTGTTTTGTTTTGTTTTGTTTTGTTTTGCTTATGTGGTTCGTTTTAGTTTTAAGACTTGCTTAATTGTGAAAAAACACATTATAAACATAAGCTAAGCAATTTCTTCACCAAAAAAAAATCAATAATTGCAATTATCCAGCGATAAAATTCTGGAATGTTGACTTTACAGTCTTACATATGCAAAGTGTTTGAGTCTATAGCTGTATTGAGTCTATGCAAAGTGAATGCATAACTGTATCTGTTTTCTTTAGGTATACGGAGAATGCCAGGTATCTGTTCAAGTTGATGCTCAGGTCAAACTTGAAAGCTACTCTTGTTCCCTTCGAGAAGGTAGGTGGAATGATAAAAAGATAGAGCTCAATAACAAACAAAACATTTGTATTCTCACATAAGAATCAGCTTTAATGGGGAAGGTTTTATTTCATGTCGTACACAGAAATTGCAAAGTTAGCATTGCATAGTGAGACTAAAAGGGAGTGTACAAAATATTTGTGGAAAAACAGAGCAAGGCATTCAAATTTGTCCTGCTGTAACCACTTGTAATAAAATGGAATTTGCCTAATACTTTTAACTTTGGTGACATTGTTCATTTTTGTGTGTTAAAGAAATGCGATCTTAAACTACCCTATTTTCCGGACTATAAGCCACTACTGTTTCCCCCCATGCTTTGAACCAAGCGGCTTATAAGAAGGCGCGGCTTCTCTGTGGATTTTTCCTAATCGCCAGAGGGGGAAGTCAAAGCTGGAAATGAAAGAACAAGGGGCAAATTTTAATTTGGCACAAGAACATGTTAGCAGCAGGCACGACTAAGGCCCCGTCCACACGAAGTCAAAACGAACACGAAACGCTAATATTTTCCAGAACGTTTGTCATAAAGACGTAGACGTAAAATGAATGTGATCGACCACACGAATGCATGAAAACGCTGCAAAATGTATGCCAGGCCTGTAAGTGGCGCTGTGGTGCCAAAGCAAAAATAGGCGAAAACAGGCAACGAAATGTTGGGCATGCGCAGTAATATTTATACAACAACCAAACCAGAAAACTGGAAAATGGCCCTGCGGGTCCATTTTCGTGGTTCAGTCAAATTGAGGTGATGAATTATGTCGTCTATATTGCTCTGTTCTTCCTGGAGATATTCCAGAAGAAGAAGATTCTGTTGTAAGCCCGACAGCAGGGTGAGTAGCATGAGCAGCAACCATTCAACACAGTACGGCGCCATTGTTGTTGTGATACTGTGTCGCGCATGCGTGTTTAGAGGCGACGCTATGATGCATGCGTGTAAGAAAAAAAATGCGGTTAGAGCTTAAAGATGGAAACGCGAAAACGGCGTTTCAAAATCTTCCCACTATGAAGGCTTAATAAAAAAAAGATTGTTTACAGACCCCCGAAACGCCGGCTTCGTATGGATGAGAGGCTGGTTTGATGAAAAATTTATGCGTTTAGGCCAGGGTTTGACTTCGTGTGGACGGGGCCTAAGAGCACATCTCCTGAATTCACACATATTGACATTTAGTTGCTGCATTAAAGCTGCCAAACTAATGAAGAGACGGGGCTCAACTCCTTTAGAGTTATTAAACAGCATACCCATCTTTCATTAGAAGCTATTACTGTTTTGAAGCGAACTCTTCATTGTTGGCTTTTACATTAAGTTTTGTCATCCCTGGATGCTAAAATAACTTGTGCAGAGATGCAAGGTGGACTATACTAGTCCTACCGAAGTGTAGACTGTGACGTGAAAGGGGATTTCAGTGATTCGCCCAAAGCTAAAGGAATGACAATAAAGACAGGTCTGCTGCACACACAGACACTTAAGATTAGTTCCCAAAACACTGAGGCTCTTAAAAATAAAGCTACGGTATACATTTAGAGCAGCTGAATGTGTTTTCTACAATCTCTTGTTGTTTAAAAATATATTAATATATAATATATTAAGTCCACACATCTTATTCTTTGTGGTATTCTGCACTTTGAAGATTCATCTCGGTGGTCACTTTTTAAACACCACAATGTTTCAAATAAATACAAATGGTGGGAACCAATTCTTTTTTACATTTCTTTAATACTTTGTTCTATTCAGCTACACAAGCATCCTCTTTAAACTACTAAGAATTGTACTATAAATGTGACTTTACCCGATTCTTATGTACACCGTAGTAATTTATTGATATGCCGCACAATGTCCTCCTTTTTGGTGCTATAGAAATGGCCACCCTACCTGTCGCAGGAGTGTGCATCGCCCTAAACTCTCGCACACTGATGAGAAAACGGATTGAAATATGAACGAAAAAGAGAACTTTTAAATATATATTATATAGAATGGTGTTGATAGTAAAAACGGGAAATGCTATCTACTGAGCAGAGAATATATTCATTGGACACTGCCTGTAGCATATCGACTAAAATGTGTCCCCGATTTAGTAAAGATCATATTCCTTCGAATTCATCTGTCCACCATAACTCTAAATTTTAGGGCAACCATGCATTAGAAATATGAAAACATTAAGACCATGTTTAAAAGTTCCCCTATAGTTCATATTCTCTTCTGTTTTGTCATCAGTGTCCGAGAGTTCAGGGTGCGTATTCCCGCAACAGGGAATACGCATCAGGTATTTCTCAGCATAAGAGCTGTATGTATATGGCGGCCTAGTGGTTAGGGCATAGGGCGTTGAATCCTGAGATTGGGAGTTTGACCCCCGAGACTGCCACTCTGGCTCCCTGAGTAAGACACTTAACCCCACACTGCTCCCCGGGCACCTCACAATGGCAGCCCACTGCTCCCCAAGGGGATGGGTTAAATGCAGAGAAGTAATTTCCCTCTGGGATTATTAGAGTATATAAAAAAAAAAATGTACGTTTCCAGTTTTTTCAAAAAATCTAATGCTTATAGTGAGGTGCACTCTATAGTCCGAAAAATACGGTAATCTTTTAGAAGTGATCTCATGTCGCCGGGCTGCATGTGGTTTCTTTTGCACCTTTTAATCCTTGTGTTCAGTTGCAGCTACTTCTATCGTGCACCGGTGCCCGGATTGTCCCACAGCCGTCAACTTGAATGACCCAGTAATCAAGGAGACGGCCAAGCTCTCTTTGCAGAAGTTTAATAAGGAGAGTCGACTTGCCAACTACTTTGCTTTAGAAAACATTACAAAAGCCAGCTCACAGGTAAAAAGAAACACCTGGACATTAATACATTTACAAATCAGATTACTATTTAGATCAAGACTAAATTAACATATGTTTCTTGAAAAAGTATTCCTATTCTTGAGGGTTTTTTGCATCTTATCATGTTACAATCTCAAATTTCAGTGCATTTTAAAATGGCCCAAGACAACACGATTTTGGTGCTTTTCAAATGTTGTGGTGTTTTGTTTTTACAAATAGCTGTCTGAAAGGTTTGGCTGCAGTATCTACAACAATTATTGGCAAATATTTTTTTTTTTTTTCACTTTAAAATTCAGTAAAGTTATTATGAATGTTCATTTTTGTAACAGGATTTTTATGTGTTTTTTTTCAGTGGGTTGTTGGACCAGCTTACTTTGTAGAGTTCACTGTTCTGGAAACAGAGTGTTCAAAAGAAACTGATGTCAGTGAGCTGAATAATTGCAGACCAATGAACTGTCAGTTTGCAGTGAGTAACATATTTAATGTTAAATTAGAGTTGTTTGAATATTGAAATTTGTAAATTGTCTTTTAGATCAACTCCTTCTCATTGCTGAATTATTTTTTTTTCTCTTTCTGTTCATCTGCTGTAGACAGATAAGGTCTTTTTTTAAGGATACTTTTTCTGCTTTGTACTTGGTCCCTAACTATTTATAAAAACAGACATTACATGATAAGCCATGAACAAAAATGTTTTTTTTTTTTATTTAATGGAAAAATAAGGCAAAGATTGTGAAACACTCTTCTGGACCTTTTAAGAAGCTGCCAGAATAAAGATCAAGAATGTCACGTCTTGGTTGTGGTTTAGAGGACCCAAATGCAGAGGCAGAGGTGATTTCTTGGTGTTTTTAATGGTAACACAAACAATAGGGGGGGCAAAATCCAAAAATACAACTTAAAATGTTACACAGACCAGAATCACGGAGACATCAAGGGAAACGCGCACCAAAAGCCAGGGAGAGACGAGGTGAGAGGACAACAGTGACGACAGGACCAGCAACAACACAGAACCAACAAAGAGTGAGAGCAGAGGGAGAGCATATATAGCTGACAGAGACAAAGGGAGGGCTAACGAGCTGACAAGGAGCAGGTGTGAGAGGAGACAACGAGGGAGCCAAGGGGAAAGGAACACACACACACACAAGAGGGCAACAGAGAACAGAAAAACATGAGAACTAACATAAATCTAGAAATTACAAAAAAAAAGGAATTAAACCAACAAAAGTAGGGAACATAGAGCAAAGCAAAGCACAATATAACCAAAACCATGACAAAGAACTTCATATATCAACACTAAAATTGTAAAGTAGCTACATTGACCAACTATTACATAGGTTGTGAACTTTAATGTGATATTTGACCGGTGCCACTCCAACTGTAACATTCACCCTAAATTAATGATCAGAGCTCTAAACTGTGTGACAATAGCAACTAACTTGAAACGTGATGTTTTTTTAAGATTAAGTAGCGTTTATTACATGTTTATCTTAGAATCTACTTTTGCAACAGCTGAATACTTTATTGATGGATAAAAAATGACATACTAACTATTCTTAACTTCTGTTTTAGCACAAGGGGTTCTGTACAGGCTCACATGTGACTTTGGAGGAAACATTTAATTCTGGGAGCCCTGTTGGAGACCCTGAAAGCTTCTTTCGAAAACACGAATCTGTTGATGTGAAATGTGAGATTTATGAACCACAGGTATTTGCATTGATCATTTTTACAGATATTTTGACAAAATTTTACACGTCATATTTGAGACTTTTATCTCAATCTTGTTATAGAAATTTGGTATCAACAATTTCTAGAGAAAAAAGTGCCAGGGACCCTTTTCATCACTCTTTTATCCAACTCATGTCCTTTGATGAGCTTTTCTCTCTGCGGAGGTTTAATGTTTGAATCCCATGGTGGAGAAATTAAAAGGGGTGATGTTTCAAAAACAATATGTTTCAAGTTAATGACAAATTGGTTTTTATTTATGGAGTAAATTATTTCACAACCTCAAACATATACAAACATCCTGATTGATATTAGGTTGTAACTCCCTCTGCCTATTACACCTTATCCACAAGCTAGTCTGAGCCATATTAATGGTATTAATTCATTTTAAATTAGCTTTTTTTTTGTATTTGATTAAGTGATGTGTTAGTTTGTTCTACTTATATGATCAGGGAAAAGATTCACTGCACCAGATTCTAGCTATTTAGTTAACTTCCAACTGCATTTCTAGTTGCAGGAAGTAAAGAAAAATCACAGTCCACAAACTAGTTGCAGTGTTGATGTCAGAGATTTGGGTAGGCCTTTCCACAACCTGAACACAAGCTCGCTCTACCAAATTCCTTCTACTTTTATCTTCTATACTTTGTTTTGAAGTACATTTAAAAAGTTTCAGGTAACCGTCCTACTTCACACCACTATGTTAGTGATCGTTGTGGCAGGGTCTTCGAGCTGACCATGGTCCAAAAGCTGTTTCCAGTGTTGTTCTAAACCAAGGCTTTTTAATCTAAGAGTAACAGTTTAGTTCAGATGGCAGAAAGAACTGGTTGTTCAGACAGAAAAAAAACTATCCCATATATATCCACCCAAACTTGGTTTTGTAACTGATTAAATGGGCTGACTACTGGCCTCAAGGGCAGCTTTAACCTAGCTGACTTGCCTTTTTGATCACAAAAAAAAGTTTGTTGTTGCTAAGATAAATATTAGCAGGGGTGTATGTTTGTGTTTGAGTTAAGTTGAGTTGAGTTGAGCTGTACCTCAACAATCCAAAAACATGACTCCACACTTTTTTCAAACTGCTTGTAGTTTTAATTGATCTATTATAATTTGGAAAAGAAGAAAAAAGTTAATTCCCCAAAAAGAAGGGTGTGTATAAAAATATTTCACTAAATAAATTGTAGAAGCTGAATTTTGAACTCTTTTTGTTTTTTTTATGTAGGCTTCCACTGTGGAGGAGCAGGCCCATGCCCAAGCAGCTAGTGGGCACCCAGACAATCATCACCACAACCACACACACCTGCATCCTCATGAGCATGTCCACTCTGTTTCAAAAGCCACAAACATCACTGTTTCGAAGCCAAAAGGCCAACTTGGCAGGACTGTGTTTGAGCTGGCCACTCCCAGATCGGCTCCAAGTGCCAGTTCCTGTCCTGGTGCTAGAAGACACGCTTTACATTTAGACAGTCCTTTCCTCTGATTACTGGGATTGGTCTTTGTTTGGTAACTCTAGCTACATCTTTTACATCTGCTGGAATACTTAAGACTGACGTGAAGGGCTGTAACTAATGATTTTGGATGATACTGACCCCAGTTATCGGGCCTTATTGTAAGACAGTGCATTTCACTGATCACCTGAATAAAGCCTTTTACACATTAAAGATTAATTTATTTTTTGTAATAATGTGAAATTATTGACAGATTTTTTCACAGTTCAAAAATATGTATGTAACAGGTAAGGCTTCAAGCAACATAGCTGTTTCTAAAAATATGGAAAGGGATGAAGGCACCAAATATGTTATTTTCCAAGCAAGGAAAACTTTATTTAGCACCTCTGCAGAAGTAAAATCGCATGTTTTTATTCACAAAAGTCATCGATGCTCGAAGAAAAAAAACAGACAAATAAAATTGTTTTTGTGAAGTATTTTAGCAACGGTTTAGAGAAAAAGGCAATATTTCTATGCTAAGGCAAAATCACACTAACAAAATGAAAAGTCTACATGAACATTAAGGTATAGTGGAGGATGTTCTTTCTTTGGGTGGATCATCAAAATAAGTGGTCCTCCTAATTGTCAATCATTCTGATGATATGTTTAGGTAAGGCCATCCCACATTTTGGTCCTCATTTTTACTTACCGGTGGTGAGTTTGACATAGTGGGAAAAAGGCATATCTTCTTTTGGAAAGTAAGTGGAGAGGGCGTGTCTTCTCAAAAAGTTGGGGAAATCCTCCACTATACCTTTAATAATAAGCTGAAACAATAAAAAACATAGAAATGGATTTTAGCTATAATGTGCTTTCCTGCAAACCTGAGCTAAAAAGCTGTTTAATTATTAATTATATAATGGAAAAACAATGTTTAAAATTGGTTATAGGTTGTCCCAAATTAAATATTGTCTTAAATTAGCATACATTTTTAATTGTCTTCATCTGAAAAAAAAACTGCCTGACAAAAACAGATTTCTCTCTCAAAAATGTGTTTGTTTCTCACGATTCAGAATGTTTCTCTGTTGTGAAAAATGCGTCATGGCGGGCCCGTGTTCCTATTGGCCAGTTCCAACAGAACTGATGGCTGAATGGTTTCTGCACCTGCACAAAATGGCTGGCCTCGCCTTTGTGTTATGCAACATGCAGTGTTGTATTTACAACAATGGCGTAACGACACAACAATAGGCCCGTAAGCAACATTATCTGGGTGGTCCCCATATGAAGTACAACACACTTGATTACCCATAATTTCCAAGTCGTAGTGTAAAAAATAAAATACTCAAACACATTATTCTTTTAAGATCTCTATTGTGGTTTGAAACATATATATTTTTTTTACCAACCGTCTAATGAACTATACACAATTATTAACATAGTAATTAAAAGTACCACTGTCTGCTTTGCTCTTGGTGTCATGTTTAAACGGCTCACCATCATGTTGAAATCTGGCATGTCTTGGGGAATAGATAAGTTCCAGTCAGTCATCCTAAAATCAGGTGGATTTTAAGAGGAAATTTTCACACCATTACATCTGCAATCAGACGTCCTAGTCTACAATTGCGAAGGGGGCCTACCAGGTGTCAGTGACAGGGCCCCTAAGAGAACGGGGGCCCCTAAGCAAAGGCTGAAAGACTAGTTCTGTCTTCGGCATGTTTAATCAGATTCAAATATAAATAACTGGAACAATTATAATCTATTTGATAAATTTAAATTACCATACATGATCCTCTGTCTGCATGATAATACTCAACAATTAATATTAAGAAAGCAGAAATATGTTTTAGTTGTATGCTTCATTGAAGTGTTAGAATATATATCTTATTTAGTTTCCATAAGTGCAAGGACACATTCTTATTAATAGGAACCGAAGAGCTTTCTTTTTAGCCTTGCATAGAAGCAATATCATTTTTCTACGGTGGCCGGGAGGTGTGGAATGTCCACAGTGCTGGTGGGATTTATGTTGACAACTTTATTAGTGTGTTGAAAAACCAATGTTGACAATGTGCCGAGTGGAGTGGGAGAGAATACAGTATAAAACAGTTTAGGAGAAGAACTGACCGGTTAGACTTTGATCTCTACACATTGTCTTTATTATTTACTTGTCTGTGTGCATGTGCTTGTACTTTTTTGTTATTTTTTATTTTCATTTGTAAACAATATTATATTCACATACAAAACCATTTTTAGGTGCTATTTCTCCATTTTAAGTGAAATTTGGATTGTTTAGTTTGATTTGTTATTTAGAATAGGATTTGTTAAGTGATTCACTTTATTAGTTAATTAATTTTAGCTTGGGATGTGGGTGTTTCACAGTATAAATAGGTAGGTCTTATGTAGCTCATTATGCATATGGGTGGTCATATGTTTTTTAACCAGTTCTCAGTTTTCTGCCAGTCAATCAATTAGTCAGTCAATCAAAGAACAGGTGCAGGAATCAGAGTGAGACCAGTAACAGAAGCCTGTGAAGCTGGTGAGCTGTTTTTGTCTGAATGTAGAATAAAGCAAGTGAAGAACTGGATTTTGGACCCTTTTTTGATCTTTTTGGACTGCATAAGCCAGAATCCATGTTGCATCAGGTGGCTATTTGAGTTAAAATCACCTTTGGCCTTGATCACCTTTAAGTCTTAAGTGTTTTGATTTTCGAATTTAAGTTTTGTACAAATAGACACTACACCATCACATCATTAAATATATCCATACATAATGAATAAAGGCATAACACACAAAAAACAACAAAAACAAGGAAAACAACAACTAACAAAAAGTGATATATGGAGAGTTTAAAAAGTATATGAATAAATGAAAAATAAATAAAGGGGTTACAATCACTGAGGAGGACGTTTGTCAAACTACTTTCCAAAACTCCTTCAAATTATATCATCAGCATTTCCATCGTGTGTGCTTATACTTTTTCATGTACTTCAAAACGTTGCCACAAGGTGTCACCCTTTCTATTAAAGTCACTCAACAAACTCGAGGACATCTAATTCAACACACTCAGTTTTATTTCAGGCATCTAAACATATTGACCTGAAAATTTCTGGAGTAATTTCAAACTAATAATGATCCTAAAAGTAAATACCAGCTGGAAATGTAATCAATTTGGCTTTTAATCTTTCATTTTGACCAGCATCATTTCAGACTACATCACATTTTTCCTTAATAAAAACTCTTGGGGGAAATATATAAATTAACTCATAAACAATCATCAGTACATTTTAAATTCAATTACATTCCTTATACTTAAGACCAAGTTGAGACCAGTTTCACTCTGGATGTACAAAATTGGTTGAGATGTACCCCTTTATATATATTTGCTCCTGTAGAATTATTAGACAGCATGGAATTAATTTCTACTGTTATGCCACCATAATACTCAGGTATATCTGTTCATAAATTCAGATGAAGATAAACCATTATGTAGGCTATAGGCATGTCTTGAAGGCATAAAACCTGGATGGCTCTAAACTTTCTGCTCCTGAATGCAGAAAAAAACAGAAATTACCGTATATTCATTGGACCAGAGTTTCTGAAAAAGAAGCTGATAAGTCAGTCACTTCATTTTGATAAGATTAAATTGATTATATAAACTCAGATTACAAAGTAAAACTTTGGTTTTATTTTTTTATCAGGACCTGTTATTTAAATCTTATATTAAATACATTTTTAGAATTTCCTTCTTTCATCTGCAGAATATTGCAAAAAAATAGAAATATCCTGTCCAGGGTTGATGCTGAGAAACTACTCCATGCATTTGTTCCTTCAAGGCTGGACTACAGTAATTCTTTACTATCAGGAAGTCCACAAACTTTAGTTAAAAGCCTTCAGCTGATCCACAATTCTGCAGCCAGAGTTCTGATGAAAATTAAAAACCAGTGATCATGAGGAAGATTAAGCATCAGACAAAAAATACAATTAAACCTGCCAAGTGTTTTTCCTCAATTTTCTCTAGAATGTTAAAGCGTTTTTTTTAAATAATATTGTGATCGACCGAATGAAATGGAGCACTGAGATCTAACAGGACAAGTATGAATAGAACTCCATTGTCTGAGGCCAAAAGAAAATCATTTGTAACTTTTAGCATTATTGTTTTCCATCCATCCATGTTTTCCCAATTCGATCTGGTTTGCGGTGGGATTGTGCCATCTATCGGCAGTCTATGGTTGAGAGGCAGGATACACGCTGAACAGATCACCAGTCAGTCGCAGGGCAACACAGAGACACACAAAGGTGTACAAACATGCACACAAACACTCACTAGGACAATTTAGAGAAGCCAATTCACCTAACAGTCATGTTGTTGGACTGGGAGGCAGTCGGAGTACCAGGAGAGAACCCACTCATGCACATGGAGAACATGCAAACTCCATGCAGAAAGACCACGGACCAGGAATCAAAACAGGAACCTTCCCGCTGCGAGGCAACAGCACTACCCACTTTCAATGCAGTTTTATTTTATGTATTTATGCTTTTTTTTTAATGTATCTTAGACTTAAAAAGTTTTAGTGATACGATGAGCTCTCTAGAAACTCTTCAAAAAGGTCATTAAAGTATAAGTCCTCGCACACTTGATTAGCAATGGTTTTCTCAAGAGTTTTAGATAAGAAAGGAAGAATTGGTTTAGGTTTATCATTGATAATTAATATCAAAAAGAGGTTTCTTTAATAAAGTTGTCATTATGGTTACCATAAAAGCCTTCAATACATACCTCTGTATTAAGAATAACAAATTAAATTGAACATGAAGGTAAAACAGGGAGGAAACATTTTCATAAATAATTTGGTTAAAAGTAATTGAAAGTCCAAATCAATCTGATTATCACAAATCAAAAATTAACAAATAATCTCTTTGGGGAGAAAGATAAACCATATTTAATTGTTTTAAGTATTTCCTCAACTGGAGTCATATATATTTTTAATGATATTATTGTTATTTACTCTTTAGGATTCTTTTCTAATTTATTTGATCTGGGCTGTAGGGAAGACACTGTCTGGATGGAGTAATGGATTGTTAACAGTAGAGGAACTGCAGAGAATTGTGTTAAACTAAGCCTCTGCTATCTGGTCTGGATAGTGGGCTCTAAGAGTTTTGGAGGGCTTATAAATTCAGCCAGATTCTTCCAAAGAAGAGCTGCACTATTCAAAGGGGTGTG